AGGAACACAATTAAACGGTTCATTAGAATCCAATACATTTAGACAGAGGTTGGGATGGGCGTTACACTGTTCACCGCACAAGTCTTGATTTCGAAGATTCGATCTGTACAAAAAACGATCATGTTTCATTATGGCCTTACTATTAATTCCTACTCAAATTGGCTAATAGGATCCGCCAAAACTGTAGTTATTATTCAAGCAGATAAACTCCTTGCTATCAAACACGGCATTTTTGTGCCATAAACGCAAGTGTATTGTATTGTATTGTATTTAGAATAAGTCGCATTCTGCTGACATGTATACAGGCCCATAGATTTTATAAAAAACATTGAAATACAAATCACTTGCGATGCAAATGTGTGTGGCCTCAGTAAGCGAACATGAAGAGAGCAATTGAAATGACTCAACAACTCACCTGGATAAAACTCAACACATTTGGTCGGACGTTGGCATGGAAGTTGTGCTGTTCCCTGTATAAATCCTGATTCGGAAAAATTGAACTACGTAAACGAAAGAAAAAGAAACAGATGTAAGTCTGAATTCGAGGTTTAAATGAAGGCAACAGTCACTGCTTTGCCTACCTGGAGGGAGGCGTTGACCTCGAAAACATAGTCAATGTTGGTATATTTCTGAACAGCCAGCAAAACTCCATCTTATAAAAGGAAGAAGAAGAAGAAGAATTCATGAGAAATTTGCACATTACAAGAGCTATCAAGTTGAAAGCCTAAAACGACCAGAGCAAGTGAAAAGGACATCAGGCACATTTTCCGAAAGTCTGCCGGTAGGGACGTGAAGTGAAGAATGTACACGGCCCTCTAAACGCTAATAATTATCTCTTCCCATTTTAGGTAACCAAGGAGACTGTGTTGTTTCGCCATTAATGGTTCAGCAACTAACTACGGGTTTGGTGCATATCCAATCGTCTTTTTTGGCAGCGCATGTTGTTTCACTCCTTTGAACAGTTTCGGCGTCTCTTTTGCATCGGGTAACATAATAACAAGATGTCGTCAAGGTAACAGCGAGACGCATTGCTTTTTGTGCCAAAGTTTCACTTAAGGCCTTTATGTGGAGGGGGGGGTAATTTCGGCAATATTTATGGTGCCCTAAACTGGCTTTGAAAAGTTCCCTATGAGTTGTAAACTGGGCCGATAGGAAGCCCCGGTTTTAGTAATAGTTTCCATATTAAACATGGACGCTGCCTTGGTTTTATTTTGTGCTGCAGTATGCAGTCAACTGTTTATTTGTATTATTAAGGGAATGGATTACCTTGTTCGATCAAAACCTCAAACTTACAACTCCCGGTCAGTAATGATGAGTATTACTGTTAAAATTCATTTTGTGAATGCTATGGAAAATTTCCTTTCATAAAATTTCTTCACAGTTTTTCTCCTGCTATAGTACCCTGAGTTTAGAAGGCTCTTGAAATGTTGGTGAATGTTCTGTTGTTTTCAGTGTTCCAGACCGGCCTTTAAGATCGCTGCCGTGCCATGTATTAGTCAAAAACTTCAAAATTAGATTTTTCTTGCTAGTGAATGCTTGGGCCTTCTTCTGCTGCGGATGGCTGTTGGGGTCATATTTGTAGACTCACCCAAACGTGGAACTCCATCGTCAAAAACATGAAAATTCAGGACGGCAATGGGCGATGAATATGTTCCAGATCAATTGAAAATTTTCCTCAAATAAGTCAACTCTTTAAAAGCGTTTTAATACGTTGGCTAGTTGACGGATGTCATTGTACTTTATCTTTTTGTAAAGCAAAGTCAAGATGCAAGTTGGAGAGTTTGTCAACTTTTCCACTTTCTTAAAAAAATAAGAATAATTTTAACATTTTGAACGACAGAACTCACTTTACTTTATAAACTAGGGCCAGTTTCGACATATATATACAGTGCGTGACCGATCTCATGAAATGTTGGCCGAAATTCTGAAATGTGTTTTCGATTAGGAAGGATTACTTAAGTGGGGTTTTGATACTGATTAGCATGTAGCATACTCCTATAGCATTTCGGACTCCGCAGAATGTCGGCTTTTGGCTGTACTTCTTTTTGACCTTCTGCAGAAATTGCGATCTGCAAAAAATGACTACGTAAATAGCATGCATTTTTCGTATTGTTTTAAATTGTTTTACAGATTCAAATATATTTTGTAGAAAATTTGCACAGAAATATGTCTTATTTTACTAGTTCAGCAGAAAATCACCCTGTCTTTCTTTTTTATATTCGATAAAAGTTTATATTTAGGTTTTCAAAAAATTTCTAATTTTGAGCTTTTCAATACCGTGCGATGTCCATATATATAAAGTCGTACATGTCCGTTTACCGAGGCTTCTAATGAAATGTACAACACAGTCTGGATCAGTTGCACAATTTTATAAACTCTATATGCTCTCTTCTTAAAGGCATAGCGAAATATATAATTTTCCTCACGAGGAAAGCATGCACCTTGTAAACTGAAATCACTAAACGCTAATACAATGGCGGATCTGGCTAAAAATTATTCGGGAATTGGAAAACTTTTTGAAAACCTAAATATAAACTTTTATCGAATATAAAATAGAAAGACAGGGTGATTTTCTGCTGAACTAGTAAAAGAAGACATATTTCTTTGCACATTTTCTACAAAATATATTTGAATTTGTAAAACAATTTAAAAACAATACGAAAAATGCATACTATTTACGTAGTCATTTTTTGCAGATCGCAATTTCTGCAGAAGGTCAAAAAGAAGTACAGCCAAAAGCCGACATTCTGCGGAGTCCGAAATGCTATAGGAGTATGCTACATGCTAATCAGTATCAAAACCTCACTTAAGTAATCCTTCCTAATCGAAAACACATTTCAGAATTTCGGCCAACATTTCATGAGATCGGTCACGCACTGTGCATATATATGCTTACTTTGAGACTCTACCCCACTATTGTAAATGTATAACACGAGGACTGCTGATCTTCCGTCCGTTCCGTTTCTAAAGTACACACTACTGATAACTAGACAGTCCAAATAGTATCCTACCATGTGCTCCAAGGTTAACATAGCCGCCTGATGAAGAGGGCAGGAAAAAGCCAGGATGTCCTGACAAATGCTTGCCTGTAGAATTTACTATTGCGTTCTGGGCAAGAAATCACAAAAATTTGTAAATCTGCTTTTCCAAAGATAAATTTCTCAATTACGCCCTGATTGATTCAATTTACGTGGAGATAAAAATATATCTTCACGTAAAACAAATTCCGTTTGGTATAACACTCACGCATAAGCGCGTAAATGTAGTCTTGGACAGTTAACAGCATAAAAATTGCCCTACTACAAGGTAACTTAGATTTCCGCCCAAATTCTTAGATATTTTAACTGACAAATCATTCATGAACACACTCTGCTGGATGAACAGATGAAATCTGCAACATTTCAAATGCTTAAGCTTAGTTGTCTCAATTTTTATCATCATGTTTCTTGTGTTTGCTCACATACTGTGCACATAGCCGATTTTTACGTCTCAATAACCACTATAATACCCAGCCAGATGTCTGTAACGTTTATTTGACGAACACTCATCCGACGGTTATCCTGGTTCCTGGTTTCTGCAAGTCACACCAAAGGACATCCTGAAAATAACTGTCCCCTCTCTGCCTGACTTTTTCGGCATTTCCAAGTGCGTTTGGCCTTGCCCTGTTGCGATCACCAACTCCTTCGTGTATCCGATCGCATTTCCTTTCCGCGAGTCGTCCACATACCGCTTGTTTTTTTTCTAATTATTCAGATGTATTTGTGACTCTACGTCAAATATTTCATTTTTAGTTATATACGCTGGTCGCGATGTAATCATTTTAGTTTTGAAATGCTCCCTGCTGTACCTTAAGAGTGTAAATATGAAAACAAAGACGTTCTTGGTGTTAGTCTGAATTGCAGAGCTGAGTTTCGCGTTCCATTACAACTTAAACAACGAGTTATTGGTGGCGACTGTTGGGGGTTGCTGCATTTGCACGTCCTGAAACACAGCCAGTAGCCGATCTCATGAAAGGTCAAACAAAATTTCTAAATTCATTTTCAATGAAGAAGTAATACTTAGCCGGGTTTGCAATACCACTGAACTGCATAAGCGTCACGCGTGCTCGACACCGCGGGGCGCGCTGATTGGCTGTCCGAGTTGGCATGCCGCGATTGGTCTGGCCTGCTGCTCGTCACGTTGTGGGCCGTGGCTCTGCATCATTTCCGCTCTTCGCAACAATTTGTCATGGTATTTCACTTCTAAGCACAATTTTGACAAAATCGGCATGATTTACGCAAGTCTCCTTTACTGAAGGCATGCTACCCTCAATTAGATGTAAAGGCAGATGTTATCGTCGGAATTCTTAAAAGCCGCTGTTTCGAACAAGCACTATGATTTCCTGACATAAAGTAGGCGGGCTAACTCATTAAATGTCAACCGAAATTCCGAAATGCGTTTTCGTTTCGAAAAGATTAATCAAGTCGGGTTGTAAAACTAATCATTGTGCAGCGTAATTCTATAATACTTCAATTACATCAGGATGCTGGCTTCCGAACGAATTTCCTTCCGGCTGTATGCTAAAACTGTACTCTGTAAAAGGCCTACTTAAGCGGCATGCATTTTCTCATTGATTTTCGACGCCCTTGAAAATCCAATTATATTTCACAGAACACATGCATAAACATATTCACCATTTTGCCCATTCGGTAGAAAATGGGGTCTTCTTCCAATTTTATACTCGAAGGAAGGGTATAATTCGGTTTTAAAACATTTTATAATTGTGAGATTCCTTAATACCGTGAAATACCCCTTCCTAAAACATCGTGTCTCTGCATTTATTCACGTGACTTGTAAAGTTACCGATTATGGATCCAATCCACTGCTAAATTTCATGGACCCCATATAGTCTTCTTTTAATACCGTAGAGCAATGTATGGTTTTCCGTGCGCGGAAAATATAGGGATTGCAGTTTGGAAACCTTGAATGCAAGTGAAATGCAGGTCGAGTTAAAAATTGTTCGGGGATTGGAAAGGCTTTGAAAACCGCATTAGTTTTACAACCCTGCTTAATTAGTTTTTTCTAAACAAAAACGCATTTCGGAATTTTGGTTAACATTTCATGAGTTAGCCCACCTAATCTACATGGTATGTTCAGTAATGGGCAAGAGAGCTTGTTAACTTTACAAGCCACATTGACAAATTTAGAATAATGACGTTTTGTGAACGGGAATTTCACGGTCTTAAAAAATCTAACAATTATAAACTTTTTGAAAACCGAATTATAGCATTCCTTCGAGTGTAAAATTGGAAGAAGACGTAATTTTTGCCGAATAAGCAAGAAAATGAATATTTTTATGCATGTTTTTCATTAAATATGGCTGAATATTTAAGGGCCTCGGAAATCAATAAGAATAATGCATGCTACTCAAGTAGTCATTTTTTACAGAGCATGGTTTTTGTATGCAGCCGAGAAGAAGTTTGTTCGAAAGCCGCCTCCTGAGGTAACTGAATTATTGTATATTTATTCAGCGCGATGATAGACCTTACAACTCTATTTAATTAATATTTTCGAAACAAAAACACATTTTGGAATGGACCCTATAATGGTCAGAAAGACGAAGAGGATAACTGGGCAGCCATACACATCACCTGGCTATTTAGCGGGAGCGCAGGGCTAAGGTTTATGGTAGGTTTAGGGTTAGGTTTAATGTCGAGTTTATAATTCCCTTTGTGTTTAAATTTACTTTTGAGTTTAACGTTAGATAATGTTGTCTCGTGTGTCT